CCCGGTAAAAGTAGGTCTTAGACAGGGATTTTGTTTAAAGTCACCATGGTTGTTTAAAAATATTTATAGATGGGGTTGTAAAGGAAGTAATTGCTAGGGTGTTTGGGAGAGGGGGGGATTAAAATTATGGGGAATCAAATTCAAAATGGGAATTGAACCCGTTACTTTTTGCTGATGATACTGTGCTTATGGGAGATTCTAAAGAAAAATTGCAAAGGTTAGTGGATGAGTTTGGGAATTTGGGGTAAAAGGGAGAAAGTTGAAAGTGAACATAGAAAAGAGTAAGGTGATGAGGGTGTCAAATGATTTAGATAAAGAAAAATTGGATATCAAATTGGGAGGAGGAGTATGGAAGAAGTGAATGTTTTAGATACTTGGGAGTTGACGTGTCGGCGGATGGATTATGAAGGATGAGGTTAATCATAGAATTGATGAGGGAAAAAAGGGAGTGGTGCGTTGAGGTATATGTGGAGTCAAAAAACGATATCTATGGAGGCAAAGAAGGGAATGTATGAAAGTATAGTGTACCAACACTCTTATATGGGTTTTGAAGCTTGGGTGGTAAATGCAGCAGCGAGGAGACGGTTGGAGGCAGCGGGATGTCTGTTTAAGGGCAATGTGTTGGTGTAAATATTATGCAGAAAATTCGGAGTGTGGAAATTAGGAGAAGGTGTGGAGTTAATAAAAGTATTAGTAGAGGGCAGAAGAGGGGTTGTTGAGGTGGTTTGGTCAAATTTTGAGAGAATGGATCACAGTAAGAATGACATGGAAAGCATATAAAAACTATAGGGGAAGGAAGGCGGGGTAGGGGTCGTCCTCGAAAGGGTGGAGAGAGGGGGTAAAGGAGGTTTTGTGGGTAAAGGGGGTTGGACTTCCAGCAAGCGTGCGTGAGCGTGTTAGATAGGAGTGAATGGAGACGAATGGTACTTGGGACCTGGACGAACTTTGGGTGTGAGCAGGGTAATATTTAGTGAAGGGATTCAGGGAAACCGGTTATTTTCATATAGTCGGACTTGAGTCCTGGAAATGGGAAGTACAATGCCTGCACTTTAAAGGAGGGGTTTGGGATTGGCAGTTTGGAGGGATATGTTGTGTATCTTTTTATGTTTATGCTTTAGACTGTTGTATTCTGAGCACCTCTGCAAAAACAGTGATAATGTGCGAGTGTGGTGAAAGTGTTGAATGATGATGAAAGTATTTTCTTTTTGGGGATTTTCTTTCTTTTTTGGGTCACCCTGCCTCGGTGGGAGACGGCCGACTTGTTGAAAAAAAAAAAAAAAAAAAAATAATAATAATAATAATAATAGGTAGTAGGTTGTGAACAGCAAGCACCCAGGAAGGTACTACCGTCCTGCCAAGTGAGTGTACAACGAAAACCTGTAATTGTTTTACATGATGGTAGGATTGCTGGTGTCTTTTGTCTGTCTCATAAACATGTAAGATTTCAGGTATGTCTTGCTACTTCTACTTGCACTTTGGTCACACTACACATACATGTACAAGCATATATATACACACCCCTCTGGGTATTCTTCTATTTTCTTTCTAGTTCTTGTTCTTGTTTATTTCCTCTTGTCACCATGGGGAAGTGGAACAGAATTCTTCCTCCGTAAGCCATGCGTGTTGAAAGAGGCGACTAAAATGCCAGGAGCAAGGGGCTAGTAACCCCTTCTTCCGTATAAATTACTAAATTTAAAAGAGAAACTTTCGTTTTTCTTTTTGGGCCACCCTGACTTGGTGGGATATGGTCGGTGTGTTGAAAGAAAGAAAGAATATCTTTATTTACTACTCGTATATGTACAAGGTATACAGGCCTAACTGACATCAGTGACATACTACTGTATAGAAAGCTGCTTGTTATGCAGAGTATTTCAAGAAAATTAGGTCAGTGCCCCAGGATAACACCCACACTAGTCGGCTAACACCCAGGTACCCATTTACTGATGGGTAAACATAGACAACAGGTGTAAAGAAACACGCGTAATGTTTCTACCCTAGCTGGGAATCAAATATTTACCAAAAATCATATATGGCTAACCCAAGCCAGGTTCTAAAAATAAGCCATGTTGACTTTTTTTTTAGGTTATCCTAGGTTCTCTACACATAAGCTGCTATGTGTGATAATCTATAGAGAGAAAATAACTTTTTTGTTTCAGGTTTATGGTGCAGTATGAGTGTATATGACAGTTAGCCATGTGCAACACTCTGTTTTCTCTAATATAAGCCCCCAAGACAGAAGTAGGAGAATGGTATTTGTATACCATATCCACTTCATCCCTCCGTCAAACTGCTCGGTATTATGCCAAATATTATTCATTCTGGGGTATTTAACATGTTTTATGTTATTTATATTGTTTCTTATGTCATATTAGATCGATTGTGATAGGCAAATAAGCTGTAATGTTGATATTAGCGTAATAATAAAGCATATTCTCCTGCTTCATGAGACTGAGCTCATGGCAACTGACAGTAGCTTCAAAGCCACCTTATCTTTAATGGATAATGTACTGTGTAGGTGCTTTACATAATGAGAAGCATTTCTTTTATTCATTGAAACCATGGCTAGGGCTAAAAGTAAGCAGGTTAAAAGAATAAATGGAGAAAAAGAAATTGGAATGACTTATGCAGCAAGTAGCGCCACCAAACAGTACCAGCAGGTTGGTGTGGCGACCCTGGAAATTTGAAATTATGCTAGCCAAAATTAGTGCCGAATAACTGAAGGAACCGAATAACTGATTGCCGGATTTGTGATGGCGGACCTGCTGTGCTTGTACATGCATGTGTAGTGTGACCTAAGTGTATGTAGAAGTAGCAAGACATACCTGAAATCTTGCATGTTTATGAGACAGAAAAAAGACACCCACAATCCTCCCACCATGTAAAACAATTACAGGTTTTCATTTTGCACTCGCTTGGCAGGACGGTAGTACCTCCCTGGGTGGTTGCTGTCTACAAAGCTATTAACTAGGACATTATATATACAGGTACCATCCAACTTACGACCGAGTTTGGTTCCAACCAACCGGTCGTAGGTCGAAATGGATGTAAGTTGAGTTGAACCTTACTATTGAATATCAACATCACATTTTTGTAATGACTTTATTTTATTGTCTTATTTTGGTATTTCATTTTTACTTTACTTTTTATGCTGTTGGTACTGTATTTTATACTGTAAGGTTTAGGATAAACACTGTGTACAACACAAACAGTTGTTTATTTCCCAGAAATTTGGTATACAAAACACGGTCGTAAGTCGAATGGTCGTATGTCGAGCAGGTCGTAAGTCGGATGGTAGGTGTACATATATATATGTGTGTGTGTGTGTGTGTGCATGTGCGTATGTATGTACCCTTCTGTTTTTGGTTGCAGGGGTCGAGTCACAGCTCCTGGCCCTGCCTCTTTGCTGGTCGCTACTAGGTCCGCTCTCCTGATTCCATGAGCTTCATCTTACCTCTTTTTAATGTTATATATGGATTGTGCCTCCACTATATCACTCTCCAGATTGTTTCACTTCCTGAGAATTCTATAACAGGAAGGAATGCTTCCTAACATCCATGTGACTCATCTGAGTTTTCAACTTCCAATTGTGACCCTTAGTTGCTGTGTCCCATCTCTGAAACATTCTGTCCCTATTCATCTTGTCAATTCCTCTCAGTATTTTTTATGTCATTATCATGTCTTCCTATCCCTCCTGTCCTCTAGTGTTGTCAAGTTGGTTTCCCTTAACCTCTCCTCATAAGACATACCCCTTAGCTCTAGGACTAGTCTTGTTGCACACAAACCATACCATGAGTGGGGTTTGATCCCACGGTCAGAGAGTCTCAAAACTCCAGACCGTCACGTTAGAGACTCTCTGACCGCGGGATCAAACCCCACCCGTGGTATGGTTTGTTTGCAATCGTGTCATTACGATTTCCTGAGTCTTGTTGCACACCTTTGCACTTTCTCCAATTTCTTGATGTGTTTGACCACGTGTGGATTCCATACTGGTGCTCCATACTCCAATATGGACCTAACATACATGGTCTACAAAGTCTTGAGTGACTCTTTACTCAGGTGGCAAAATTCTGTTTTTAGATTTGCCAGGCACCCATATGCTGCAGCAGTTATTTGGTTGATGTGTGCCTCAGGAGATGTGCTCAGTATGATACTCATCCTAAGATCCTTTTCCTTGAGTGGGGTTTTCAGCCTTTATCCCCCTAGCTTGTACCCTGGCTGTGGTCTTCTTTGACCCTCCCTAATCTTCTTGACTTTGCACTTGGTGGGATTAAATTCAGGAGCCAGTTCTGGACAAGATCCCTTAGTAGTCTCACCTGATCTTCATCCTTTTGAATTCTCCGCATTAGCTTCACAACTTCTGCAAACAGCGACACCTCAGAATCTATTCCTTCTGCCATGTCTTTCACATACTATACCAGAAACAGCACTGGTGCTAGGACTGACCCTTGAGGAACCCTGCTCGTCACAGGTGCCCACTCTGACACCTCATCATGTACCATCACTCGTTTCCTTCCTGTCAGGTATTCTCTGATCCATTGCAGTGCCTTTCCTGTTATTCCTGCCTGTGCATGCATGCATGGAGGTATTACTGTCCTGCCAGATCATTGTGAAATGGAACCTGTAATTGTTTTACACAGTGGTAAGATTGCTGGTGTCTTTTCTTTCTGTCTCATAAACACACAAAATAGCAGGTGCATCTTACTACTTCTACTTACACTTAGTTCATACTACACATTTGTGTACATGTATGTGTATACATACCCATCTGTATTTTCTTTTATTTTCTTAATATTTCTTGTTCTTATATTATGTATTTCCTTTCATCTCCATGGTAAAGTGGAGAAGAAACCTTCTTCCATAAGCCATGTGTGTTGTCAAAGGTGGCTAAAATGCCGGGAGCTAGTCATGCGTTAGTTATAAATTGTTTTTGCCATAGCATTGTGACTTTTATTCTTCTGGTTTGATTCCTGTATTATTTTTACAACTTTTTCATTCCCCAGCCTGATGTTCTGGAGCTGTTGGTTCAGAATGGTGCCAACCTTCATGCTCGGACTAAGAACCAAGAGACTCCCTATGGTAAGTTTGTTAAGCTTTTTTTGGGGGGTCTTCACTTCCATATAGAGCACTGTGTACTCAGTGCAAACATAAAAGTTTCTTAAATAAGACATTGATAAGTTAGGGATGGAAAGATGGTAATGTATCTATAGAGTAAGACACATCAGTTTTATCAGCAAATTACATTGAACACAACTAAAATTTGTGTAGAATAAAGAAAATATTGTCAGCACAAACATCTTTTTCAAACTACTGTCCATGGAGCTGCCACTCAAACATTAGTTATCAGAAAGTTTTGTTGTCACTTTACTGAGATATCAATGAATGCAAGTGTAAATGAAAACAATTAGTATTTTTGTGAAGAAAAACTATTGTGGAATTCTAGATTAAGTGAAACTGAGCCATTACTGTGTATCATTCACAGTTGGTCATCACACCAGAATGATCAGAGGTCACAATGTAAGGTTTACTCTCCTGTAAGGCTATCACCACAGTTGGCACATAAGATACCAGGAATCTCCATGCTACATCAAATTAATTCAAATTGCAAGTGATAATAAATAATAATATAATTAATTGAATAGGTGGTAGGTTACTGATTGCTGTTAAGAGTTTTTATGAGGATTGTGAGGCTCAGGTGAGGGTATGTAGGAGAGAGGGAGATTACTTTCTAGTGAAAGCAGGTCTTAGACAGGGATGCATTATGTCACCTTGGTTGTTTAACATATTTATAGATTGGGTTGTAGAGGAAGTGAATGCTTGGGTGTTGGGGAGAGGTCAGATGTGGAATTAAAAATATTAAGAATCTAATACTAAATTGGAGTGGCCACAGTTACACTGTGCGTTTGGGAAAATCTGAAGAGAAGTTGCAAAGGTTAGTGGACGAATTTGGGAGGGTGTGTAAAAGAAGGAAGTTGAAAATGAACATAGATAAGAATAAGGTGATAAGGATAACAAATGAGTTAGGTAATGAAAGATTTTATATCAGATTGGAGGGTTGGAGAAAGTGAATGTGTTCAGACGTTTGGGGAATAGACCTGTCTGTGGATGGGTATATGAAAGACGAGGTGAACCATAGAATTGATAAGGGGAAAAGGTGGGTGGTGCATTGTGGTATCTGTGGATACAAAGAACATTATTCATGGAGGCAAAGAGGGAAATGTATGAGAGTAGAGTGGTACCAGCACTCTTATATGGGTGTGAAGTTTTGGTTGTTAATGTTGCAGCAAAGAGAAGGTTGGAGGCACTGGAGATGTCGTGTCTGAGGGCAATATTTTTTTTTTTTAACAAGTCTGCCGTCTCCCACTGAAGCAGGGTGACCCAAAAAGAAAATACTTTCATCATTCAACACATTCATCTCACTCATACATAATCACTGTCTTTGCAGAGGCACCCAGATGCAACAGTTTATAAGCATGTATAAAGATATAACATATCCCTCCAAACTGCCAATATCCCAAACCCCTCCTTTAAAGTGCAGGCATTGTACTTTCCATTTCCAGTACTCAAGTCCTGCTATATAAAAATAACTGGTTTCCCTGAATCCCTTCACTAAATATCACCCTGCTCACACTCCAACAGCTCGTCAGGTTCCAAAAACCATTTGTTCATGCACTCCTATCTAACACGCTCATGCATGCTTGCTGGAAGTCCAAGCCCCTCGCACACAAAACCTCCTCTACCTCCTCCCTCCAACCTTGTCGAGGACGACCCTTACCCGGCCTTCCTTCCCCTGCAGGTTTATACACTCTCCAAGTCATTCTGCTTTGATCCATTCTCTTTAAATGACCAATGTGTAGTGTAAATATTATGCAGAGAATTCATAGCTTGGAGACTAGGAGGAGGTGTGGAGTTACAAAAATTATTATCCAGAGGGCTGAGGAGGGATTGTTGAGGTGGTTTGGTCATTTTGAGAGGATGGAATAATATACGATGATTTGGAGGGTGTATAAATCTGTACTGGAGGGAAGGTGAGGTAGAGGTCATCCTAGAATAGGAAAGAGGGAGGGAGGGAGGGGGTGAAGGAGGTTTTGTGTGCAAGGGGCTTGAACATCCAGCAGGCATATGTGAGCATGTTAGGCATGAGTGGAGGCAAGCTGCTGGAGTGTGAGCAAACTATTAACTTAACTGTTAGACTGTCACTGTATAAAGTAGACATAAAGCATTAATTTCAGGATGGTAACCCTCGCAGTATGTGAGAGTTCACTGTATGTATCTACTACATCTATTGGGTGATAGTCTACATAAGAAAGTGTGGCATTTTAACTAATAACAATATGTAGAATACAGTACATCCCAAATGTTTGAGCAATATGAATAATATAAATAAGCAGAATTTTCCTATGATTGGGACTGGGGGGTTGTACTTAACATTTGTAAAAAGTAAATAAATTATACCATGATGTACAGATACACTGTCAATAACAGCAATCATGAATAGTCTGTGGGAATAGTGAGAGAATTGAGGTACCACAAAAGGTGTATAATGTTGTGAGATAAACTCTCATTTAATGTTGATGAAACCTTCTATGTATATTATGTTTGGGAGCAGAGCAAGTAATGCCCAGCTAAACATTATGATTAACAATACAGTGGAACCCTGGATTTTGCACGTACCAAATATCGGACTTTGCAGATTTCAGACACTTTTTTGTGCAAAATTTGGCTTCAAATTTTGGACCTTGTCCCGGGAATCACACATATCAGGCATGTCCACCTGCCAGGATGCCGCTTCACTCTGGCTCTGTCACTGGTTGAGTGAGCATTCATCTGAAACATTTCACAATTTTTGTGCTTGTTTATTGATTGTGACTGCGAAATAAGCCACCGTGGGCCCAAAGAAAGCTCTTAGTGCCAGCCCTTTGGTAAAGGGCTGAGAGAGAGGGGAGAATATGTCTTCTTCAGTGATTCTACATGTATGATACTAAAGCAGCAGGATCTGATAAAGGCTATAGCGCCAGCCAGCGATAAAGTGTAGCATTAACAGTGTAGCAAGTAAGTTAAGCGATTAAGCTATAGAAAAAGGACGACACAAAACTCCTTAAATGTTGTTGGAGGTATATAGGGCCACTGACAACATATACCATCCTGCGTATCTTCCACCACCCTCAACCAGTGCCAGCATCTCCTCCAAGGTAAGCGTAAATATTTCTTATTTATAAATTACACGAACATTGTTTCAATGTGAATAGTGGTGGTGGCCTCTGCTGCTGCCACCATTTACCTGGAGACCTGGAGAGATCTCCAGCTTATGCTGTCAGTGGCCCTGATAAACCCAGCACCACCACCACACAGAAACATGATACATACTCTAGAAGTATATATCATGTTTCTATGTTATTAATATTATTCATTATGTCATATTAGATAAATAAGCCGTAGAGTTGATATTAGCGTGTCATATTTACATATTTAGTCCTGTCTCCAAACAAACTCTCATCCCAACAAGAGTCTCCAATAAAGGTATGTTTTCATTATTATTATTAACACATCGGCTGTTTCCCACCAAGGCAGGGTGGCCCAAAAAAGAAAAACTTTCATCATCATTCACTCCATCACTGTCTTGCCAGAGGCATGCCTACACTACAGTTATAATACTGCAACATTAACCCTTTGACTGTCGCGGTCGTATATGTACGTCATAGGAGATACCGTGTTTGACGTATCTATACGCATAAATTCTAGCAGTATCTATACGCATAAATTCTAGCGGCTTCAAATCAAGCAGGAGAAAGCTGGTAGGCCCACATGTGAGAGAATGGGTCTCCATGGTCAGTGTGCACCATATAAAAAAAATCGGGGAGCCAGTGGTGCATTGTGGGAATACCATTTCAGTCGTCCTTTTTCAGCATGTCTAGCGGTAAGAAATATGTGACTTCCCTGCAAATCTGGGACTCTTCTCTTCCCAAGTGATGCTCTAACACAGATGGAAGTGTCAATGAAAATCAATTTCATGATTTCGAGGAGTTTGAGACCAAAAGCAATGGAGGAGGAGGAGAAAGGAGGAGGAAGAAGAGGAGGAAGAAGAGGAGGAGGAAGAAGAGGAGGAGGAAGGGAAAGGGAAAGGAAGGGGAAAAGGAAGGAGGAGGGGAGAGGAAAAGGAGAGGAGGAGGAAGGAGGGGAGGAGGAGGAAGGAGGGAGGGGGAAGAAGGGGGAGGAGGAAGGAGGGAGGAGGAACAAGGAGGAGGTGGGAGGGAGGAGGAAGGGAGGAGGGAGGAAGAAGGAGGAGGAGGAAGGAAGGAGGGAGGGAGAGGAGGAGGAAGGTGGAAGGTGGAAGGAGGAGGAAGAAGAAGAAGAAGAATAAGAAAATAAGAATAGGAAAAATAAATAATACCTAATAATAATAATATGTAATAATATGGCCCTTGAGGCTTTGAAAACAGTTCACCCATGACAGTGGGCAAGATAAGGGGAGATAAATCTGATAAGAGCTGACCTTTGATGAGCTAAACGAGGGTGGAGGGGGGGGCAGCTGTCCATCTGTCAAGAGCAGGAGGAGAAGGGAGAAGAGGGAGGAGAAGGAGAAGAAGGAGGAGAAGGAGAAGAAGGAGGGAAGGAGGAGGAGAAGGAGGAGGAGGAGAAGGAGGAGGAGGAGGGAAAGGGGGAGGAGGAGAGGAAAGGGGGAGGGAGAAGGAGGGGGGAGGAGGAGGAGGAGGAGAAGGAGGAGGAGGAGGAGAAGGAGGAGGAGGAGAAGGAGGAGGAGGAGGAGGAGGAGAAGGAGGAGAAGAAGGGGAAGGAGGAGAAGGGAGGAGGAGAAGGGGAAGAAGGAGGAGGAGGAAAGGGAGGAGGAGAGAGGAGGAGGAGGAGGAGGAGGAGAAGGAGGGAGGAGGAGGAGGAGGAGGAGGAGAGGAGAGAAGGAGGGAGGAGGAGGAAAAAGGAGGAGGAGGGGAGAAGGAGGAGGGGGAGGGAGGAAGGGGGGGAGGAGGGAGAGGAGGAGGGGGAGGAAAGGGTGGGAGATGGAGGAGGAAAGGAGGGGAGAAGAGGAGGAGAGAAGAGAGAAGAAGAAAAAGAAGAAGAAGAGG